CCATTAACGGGGACACTCCAGAAGCGGGGACAGCCCAGAAACGGGGACACCGCTCATGGGCGACACCTCGAAACTAACATGGGGACACCCCCAAAGTGACGGGGACACCGTTAATGGGGGACACCGCTCATGGGAGACACCCCGAAACTAACGGGGACACCCCAAGACTGATGGGGAGGACACCCTGAAACTAACGGGGGGGGACACCGCTAATGGGGGACACCCCAAAACAAATGGGGGGGAACACCCCAGAAATGGGGACACCCCATTAACAGGAACACCCCAGAAACGGGGACACCCCAAAAACGGGGGGCACCCGCAAACGTGGACACCACAAACGGGGGGAACCCATAAATGGGGACACCCCATAAAGGGGGGAACCCATAAAAGGGAGGAACCCACAAACGGGAGCACCACAAACGGGGGGAACCCACAAACGGGGGTACCCCCAGCCCCAGCCGGGGCTGTAACACCCCCGCCCGTGGCGCTCTCATCTCCGCACAGTTCGTTATGTGCACGCCCTATTATTTATTTACCGGTTCTGCCGTTTGTTTGTAGGTCCTACCCCAAACAAACCGTTGTTTATGTGGGGGGGCACACACAAATGGGGGGTTCCAGGGAGATCCGTGGCTCCCACACCCTCGAGTTACGGGGGCTGCCCAGGGGCTGCTCACACCATTACAAACCCCTCAAATCCCATTAACTGAGTTCGCGTTATTTTTTAATTAAATTTTACATTCACCACAAACCCTCACCGAGCCACTGCGCATGCGCCGCCTCGGCGTCACCGCCCCCGCCGGCGCAACCGCCGCGCACGCGCAGCCCCGCCCACCCCGGCGCGCGCGGGGGGGGGGGGGAAGCTCCTCTTGGTACTGCGCATGCGCGGGGCGGGGCGCGAGCTGTGTGGGGGTTTCCCGCCTTTTTCTGTGAGGGGAGCGGGGACTTTCCTGTCCCTTTATCGCTGTGCGGGAGCCCTGAGGGGCGGAGGGCGTTCCTCCGTTTTACCGTGAGGGCTGGAAGGGGTTCCTCCCTTCCGTGAGGGCTGGAGGGCGTTCCTCCGCTTTACCGTGACGGGTGGAAGGGGTTCCTCCCTTTTTCCGTGAGGGGAGAGGGAATTTCCCGCCCTTTTTCCGTGAGGGGTGGAGGGGTTTCCTCTCTCTTTCCCTGAGGAGTGGAGGGGGGTTAATCTCTTTTTTCCGTGAGGGGAGGGGGAATTTCCGGTCCTTTTTCCTTGAGGGATGGGGGGAGAGTTTCCCGCCTTTTTTCCGTGAGGGGTGGAAGGGGTTCCTCCGTTTTTCCGTGAGGAGTGGAGGGCTTTCCTCCCTTTTTCCATGAGGGGTGGAGGAGTTCCCCCCTTTTTCCGTGAGGGATGGAGGTGGTTCATAACTTTTTCAGTGAGGAGTGGAGTGGATTCCTCCCTCTTTCCCTGAGGGATGGATGAGGAGTTTTCTCGCCCTTTTCCGTGAGGGCTGGAGGGATTCATCTCTTTCCGTGAGCGTGGAGGGGTTTCTTCCCCTTTTTCCGTGAGAGGAGGGGGAGTTTCCCACCCTTTTCCATGAGGGATGCAGGAGTTTCCCCCCTTTTTCCGTGAGGACAGGGAGGAAGGGTTTTGCTTCCTTTTTCCCCGGGCCAGGGGGGTCTCCCGCCCTTTTTCCATGAGGGGAGAGGATTTTCTCAGCAGGCAGAACCGTGTTGGGAGGGTTTGGGGCGTGCTGGAGCTGTGGGCTGTGGGTTTGGGGTCCATTACGGGACAATCCCCCTCAGCATCTATAGACACCCCCCGACGGGCTGTTGTGACAGACCCACCGGAACCGGTAATGCAGTAATAAAAACCCTTTATTTCCCAATATATTGCCCCCAAAAGCCTCCTGCAGGCTGGGGGAGTGGGGGGGTGGCGGGGGGGGAGGGGAGGAGCACCCCACAAACTAACGGAGGCACCCCAGAAACTGAGGCGGGCACCCCAAAACCCGTGAGGGGCAAGGGCACCTTTAAACCTGAGGGGGTCTCCCCAGGGGGAAACTGAGGCACAGGCAGTTCAAGGCACTTGCAAAGGCGTTTGAGGGAGGGGCAACCCTTGAGGGACCCCCAGATCTACCCCTGCCCCCCCGGGGGGACCCAGGCGTCGGGACCCCTCAATAATTTAAGGCTGGGGGTCCCCCTGTGCGGGGGGAGGTTTGGGGAGGTCTCCGTTGGGGTTCTTGGCTTGTTCAGGCACCGTCTGGGGACTCTGGAGGGGGCACAAAGTGGGGGATTAGTTACACCCCCAGGGACCCCCAAACCCTCTGGGGATCCCCCCAGTACTCTCCACAGGGCAGCAATCTCCTCCCAGTGTTTCCAGTTCTCCCCTGTATGTTCCTCCCAGTTCCACCAGTAGGGCCGCCCTCCCTTTCCCAGTTCTCCAGGTTACTCCCCACTCCCAGTGCTCCCAGCTGTCCCCTACAGGTCCTTCCCAGTGCTCCCAGTGCCCTCCCACAGGGCAGCAGCCCCTTCCCAGTGCTCCCAGTGCCCTCCCACAGGGCAGCAGCCCCTTCCCAGTGCTCCCAGTACCCTCCCACAGGGCAGCAGCCCCTTCCCAGTGCTCCCAGTACCCACCAGAGGGGGCGGCGGTGTGGCGCTGCCGTAGCGGGAAGGTGATGTAGGCGTCATAGCCCAGCAGGATCCCGGCCAGGATCCCGAACACCTGGGGGTACGGGGGGTCAGAGACACCCAAACTTCCCTGGATCCCCCCCAAACCCCCCTCACCCCTCAAGACTGGAGGGATCAGAGACCACCAAACCCCCCTCACCCTGGCCTAGAGCCCCAAGACCTGGGGGGCAGGGAGATCAGAGACCCCTGAAGCCCCAAACCTCCCTGGAGCCCCAACACCTGGGGGGGCAGTGGGATCAGAGATCCCCAAACCCCCCTCACCCCGGCCAGGAGCCCCAAGACTGGGGGGATCAGAGACCCGCAAAGCCCCCTGTACCCCCGCACACGCACAAAGACCCCCCTCAGCCAGGAGTCCAAACACCTGGGAGGGGTCAGAGACCCCTCAAACCCCTCCTGCACCCCCCCAACCCCCTGGTCAGGAGCTCCAACACCCGAGGGGAGGTCAGAGCCCCCCAAATTCCCCCCTCACCCCTCCCGCGATGCCGGCGCCATCGTGGTGGCTGAGGAGGACGATGAGGGAGGTGATGAGGAAGAGCAGAGCCCCAGTGACGCAGCGTGTGAAGTCCTGGGGGGCACACATGGGACCCCTCAGAGACCCCCCAAGCCTTCTGGGGACTCCCCACCTCCAGGGCTTCCCCCCAGGGACCCCCAGACTCTCTGGGGACCTCCAGTCCTCAGGGACACTGCCCTACTCAGCCACCAACGGCACAACAGCCCCCACCCACCCACCCGTCAAGGGGCGATGGCGTGGGTGGGGCCCGCCGGGCGGGGGGCTCTTAAAGGGGCAGAGGTCGGAGCGCTCAAAGGCGGCGCTCGCCCGTGACGCGGGAGGCTGGCGCAATAACGGCTGGCACGGCGGGCCGGGCACCGCCCGAGCGCCGCTGCTCCCCGCGCACGGCCAGACAGACATCCGGCTGCCTCCGCCTTTGCAGCCGGGGCCCCTGGCCCCGCCCTTCTCACCTTCCCTGCCCGCCCCCCCCCTTTCTCAAGGGCGTTGCCCCTCCACGCGCCCGAACGGGACCGGGAGGCGCGGGGGGAGCGGCGCCTGCGGTGTCCCACGGCACGGGGGACACTGCGGGCGTGTCACCCCCGGACTGCACGTGCCGGCCCCAGCGCTCCGGGAGCGCTCCGGGAACCGGGCATCCCCCGGGGGGGACCCGGTGTCCCGCTGCTCCCCCAATGGGGACCCCGGTGCCGCGGTACCCCCGATCACTTTCAAAGCAGGGACCCCGGCAAAACCGGCATCCCGCCATCCCGCTCCTGCAGCCCGCCACGGACACGGGGACCCACGTGTCGGGGTGCCCCCAGGCCCCCACAACGGGGATCCCAGACATCCTGCCCCGCCCAAACCGGGACTCACGGATCCCCCCGCCCCCCGAATGAGCGCCCAGGCGTGTCCCCCCTCCCCAAAGGAGCCGGGCACCGAGGCACCCTGCCCCCTCCAACAGGGACCGGGCATCCCGCTGCTTGCCCGCCCCGAGCCGGACCCAGATGTGTCCCGGTGTGTACCCCCGGTGCTCACGCCGCTGGGTCCGCAGCCCGGTACCCCACCCCGGTGCCCCACGCGGCGCCCCCCGTGTCTCACGATCTCGCCGATGAGCACCAGCCCCTTGTGGGTGCGGCTGAAGGCGAGGCAGGTGGCGGGGCAGCTCTGGACCCCGCTGGACTCCATGGCGGGACCGGGCGGCACCGAGCGGGCGGGAGGGGACGGGGACGGGGGGACAGGGACAAGTGCGGCAACGCCACCGCGGCCCACCGGGGCTCGGCGGCCCCGCCACCGCCCCCAGGGACACCGCCGACTCCGCGTCCCGCCGCCCGGCCGCGCGTCGTCATCCCGGTGCGGCATCACTCAGGCATCGCCATCCCTCGCGCTGCTGAGGCCTCGGCGGGAGCAGCACCGGGAGCAGCTGCCGCCGCGTTTCCCGACGACCGGGACGGTGCCGGTGCCATGAAGGAGGACCGCCAGCATTCCGTCGACCTGGGTGAGGCACCGGGGCCATCCCGGCACCGCTCCTCGCACTGCCGGTCGTGGCCTGGCCGCGAGCGAGACCGGCACTCACCGGGCTGATACCGGGAGCAGGAGGTCCTAGGGTGGCTCTAGGGTCACCACGGGACCACACCGGCTGCCTGTACCCATCACCACGGGCAGCCAACCCTGGCCTGTTGTGACCGATGTCATCTTTGGTGGCATGTCCGTTGGCATGGCCAGTGGCATCACCGGCTGTCCCTCCTCTTGTCTCTGTGACAGGTTACGCCATCACCAAACCCGACATCCTGGCCGAGGTGGAGCGAGGGGACGAGGGGGTGGCGGCGGCAGCGGGGCGTTACGGGGGGCACCAGAGCCCCCGGCCACACGGGGCACCCGCCGGCCCCTCCCAGGGTGAGCGCGACACGGGGACGGGCGGGATCGTGGCCGGGTGGCACCAGGAGCGGGAGTCGGGCACCGGCCCGCATCCTGCCCAGCCGCGCGCTTGGTCCCGCGGGATTCCCGGTGAGGCGGCCGCTCCCCAACGCGCTCCTGTCTCCGCAGGGGACTGGCGGGGGAAGGAGGTGAAGAGCGAGGACGGGGTGTCCCCACCGCCCCGCTCGCCCCCGTCCCGCCACGCCGGCCCCGCCGACTTCCTCGTCCCGCTGCGGGAACGGGGCTGCAGCTACTGCGGCGTCCTCGAGCCGGAGCCGAACCCCGGTGCCGGTAACGGGGGGTTCATCGCCGCACCCCCCGCCTTCGAGAGCCGGCGCTGCCGGCCCGGGGAGCCGCCGCTGGATTGTGCCGAGTGCGGCCGAGGCGTCGGGCAGAAGCCGGACCTGGTGCGGCACCGGCTGGGGCGCGGCACGGAGCTCGGCTACGCCTGCGGCCGCTGCGGGAGAGGCCTCGCCGAGCCGGGGGGGCTGGGGGTCACGGGCAGCCCCCACCGCCCGGGGCCCTGCACCGGCCGCTCCCCGGGCACGGCGGAGGGAGCGACGGCTGCGCCGCGGAAGGAGCGGAAGGAGCTGTCGCTGACCGAGAAGGTGCGCGTGCTGGAGATGCTGGAGGGCCCCAAGGTGTCGCAGAGCGAGCTGGCCAAGCGCTTCGGGGTGTCGCAGCCCCAGATCTGCCGCATCATCAAGAACAAGGAGCGCATCCTGAGCGAGTGGCACCGCAACGGCGACCCCGAGCGCAAGCGCAAGCGGGAGGGGAAGGACGCGGCGCTGGAGGCCGCGCTGCTGCGCTGGGTGGAGGGTGCCCACGCTGCCGACCTGCCCGTGGGCCGCCCGCTGCTGCAGCTCAGGGCCAGGCACCCGGCCCGGCCCGATCCCGAGCCCACCGGCGGCTGGCTGGCTCGCCTGGGCGCTCGCCACGGCCTCGCCGGCAAGAAGCCGCCGGCAGAGAAAGGGGACGCGGAGCAGCCCACGGCGGAGCACTGGGCCGGCACGGTGCTGCCCGGGCTCCTCCGCAGCTACGCGCCCGCCGAGATCTTCGCCTGCGGGGAGACCGCGGTGCCGCTCCCGGCCGGCGCCCTCGGCAAGGGCGAGAGCCCCGGCGAGCGGCTGACGCTGCTGCTCTGCGCCAACGCCAGCGGCTCGGAGAAGGTGCCGCTGCGGGCCGTGGGGGACAGCCCCCGGCCGCGCTGCCTGCGGGGCGTCAACCTGGAGCAGATGCCGTGGAGCTACCGCGCCGGCAGCCCGGCCGGCCTGACCGCCCCGCTCTTCGCCGAGTGGCTGCGGGACTTCAACGAGGGCATGCGGCGGCGGGGCAAGAGCGTCCTCCTCCTCCTGGCCAAGCACGAGGCGCACCCCTACCTCCAGCTGTCCAACGTCAGGATGGTCTTCGTCCCTGCGGCCACCGCCCTGGCCCAGCCCCTGGACCGCGGCGTCGCCGGCGACCTCAGGGGTCACTACGGGCGGCGGCTGCTGCGGTGGCTGCCGGCGGAGCGCGGCGCGGGGCAGCCCAGCCTGCTGGATGTGCTGCACATGCTGGCGCAAGCCTGGGGCGACGTTCCCCCCGGGCTCATCGCCGGCTGCTTCCGCGCCGCCGGCTTCACCCCCGATGCCGGCGCCGAGGCCGTGTCCCTCACCTCGGCCCCCGGCCGGCTCGGCCGGGAGCGGCCGGAGCGCGACGGGGACCCGGCGGAGGCGGACGGGGACGAGGGCGTGACGGAGGGGGAGGACGCGGGCGAGCTGGCGGCCGTGCCGCCCTGCCCCTCGGAACGGGAGGTCTGGAAGAGCCTGGCCACGCTGCGGAGGTACCTGGAGTGCCAGGCCACCTCGCCAGACCTCTTCCAGGCTTTCTACGAGCTGGAGGACGCGGTGCACATGGTGTCAGCCGGGGCAGGGCGAGCCTTCCTCGGGGACACCCCTCCCCAGCAGTGACAGCTACACGTGCCCAGACCCGCTTGTGCCCACGGGAGGGGCCGGAGCTCCTTGGGGCTGTCACCAGCCCGGCCTGGCCGCTGTTCCCTGCAGTTGTGCCGTGGGGTTTGCAGTGGCAGTGCTGGGGACACAAAGCTGCTGCCAGAACCTTCTCCCAGGGAGCGGCTGCTGCAGCCAGCAGGAAACAATGTGGTGCTGCTGCCAGCGGGGATTTGCCCTGAGTGGGGTCGTTGTGGCTGCCATGGGGGGATGTGGGTGGTGCTGGGGTGTCCCCGTGCTGGGGACAGCAGCTCCATCCCACGGGGGAATCGGGTGCCTCCGGCTGCTGTCACCACGTGGTGCCTGGAGGATTGTTACAGGCATTAAAAAGTTGGAATTCAGCAAAGCGAAGTGCGGGTGGTTTTATTCTGCTGTCACATCTGCTGGGAGTGGGGCAGAGCTCCCCGGGGCTCCCCAGAGCAGCGGGGCCACCCCAAACCCCCCTTTCCCTCCTGGGGACATGGTGGCCTCCACAGCCACCCTGAGCTGTGCCATCTCCACCCAGGTATCAGGGCCATGGCAGCACCTGCGGGCAGTGAGGACCTGGCTGATCACCCTGTCCTGGCTGTGCCAGCCTTGGTGGCACCCACGGGCACCCTGGGGTCCCTGCACTGCGCACCCTGTCCCCCACAGCAGGATCCCTGAGGCAGGACGGGGTATGGGGATGACTCTGCTTGTTTGCAGAGGGTCAGGGGCAGCTGGAGGCCACCAGGCAGGGACAGAGGTGTCCCCACAGGCCCAGGGGGTACAGGGATGGAGGCCACAGGGGGATCCCCACACGGATACAGGGTCACAGGTGGGCATGAAGCACCGAGGGGAAGGGGTGCAGCAGGCGGGACCCCCACAGGGATACAGGACCACGGTTGGGAAAGGGGGGGACACAGGGGCTCCTGCACTGGGGGTTCCCCATGGGGACACCCCATCATGGGGGTACATGGGGTGCACGGGGGTGGGACCCGCGTGGGATGCACCTTCCCGGGGGTGCAGGGATGAGGGGCATGGCGGGATCCCCACGGGGACACAGCCCCACAGGTACCCACGGCACCCTCGGGAGGGGGGTACAGGGATGTATCACCCCGGGGGACCCCCACGGCATACATCCACGGTGGGTACCCGCTGTCCCCTCGGGTGGACTGCAGGGATGTCTCCTCCCGCAGGGATGTCCCGGTGTGCTGTCCCTCCTGGTGGGATGTCCCCTCCTGGGGCTGTCCCCTCCTGGTGTGCTGTCCCTCCCGGTGTGCTGTCCTGGTGTGCTGTCCTTCCCGGTGTGCAATCCGGTCCCGGTGTGCTGCCCCTCCCGCTGTGCTGTCCGGTCCCGGTGGGATGTCCCCTCCAGGGGCTGTCCTTCCGGCAGGGCTGTCCGGTCCCGGTATGCTGTCCCGTTGTGGTGTCCCTCCCGGTGCTGTCCCCTCCCGCTGTGCTGTCCCCTCCCTCCCGGCGCTGTCCCCTCCCGGTGCTGTCCCCTCCCTCCCGCTCCGCTCTCCCCTCCCGGTGCTGTCCCCTCCCTCCCGCTCCGCTCTCCCCTCCCGGGGCCGTTCCCGTGCCCGGTCCCGCCCCCGCCGTGTCGCGGCGGTGCCGCCAGGGGGGGCCCGCGGCCGCGGTGTCGCGCAGGGCCCGCGCCGGCGCTCGGAGGAAATGAAGGCGAGTTCCGCCGAGGCGGGAGCCATTACCCGCCGCCGGACCTGAGCCCCCCCTCCCGCCGCCGCCGGGGCCCCGCTCCGCGCCCCCCGCGCCCCGCACGCCCGTCCCGGCGCAGGTA